TTATATATCGTTCTCACAAAACGAAATAAAATTAACTCTTCAACAATTATTCTCACTCTTCTATCTCACTGTAAAAATTTAGGTGAATACTTTTTCGATATCGACCGTGTAAAGTTTTACGTCTCGAATGATCGAAATTGCCGCTCCAACCGATCACGTGCGTTAACGTTCTCACTGTGGAATGAGAGTCAATGCTCGATGGTGATTCCGATTTTGCCACTAGTTGGCGCTGATTTTATTCCATACAAATTGTAGTTAACTTTCACGGTATCGAGTGCGTAAAAACAACATCTCGCACTAGGCACACAGCTCACAGCTAATGTCTGTCACACTCCAAGTTATGATTTGAATTCGGAGGTAACTTGAAAATATGCTTACCAATCTTGGGTTTTGAAAATTTACAATCAAATTGGGTGATCTCCTCGTTTGATCGGCTTCTTCTATCCTCCAATGTTCTTCGTTCTTAATAAAAGAACGAAAGTACCGGGCACGACACGAAATACACCGGTATAGACCTATGGGGAACACGCGGGAACGGCACACGAACGTTATGGAGATCGCGCACTATAGACTGTCCCCACGATGAAATTACTTAAAACTCGAAGGACCACAACTGCATGCATAAGAAAAACATGCAATAACATTTAAAAACTGCTTATTTCATGGGTTTTTTTTTAATTAATTTAGTGGACAGAGCAACCACACGCTGGCTAGGTTGACAGAAGAAGGAAAAAGATGCCAGAGTAAATCAAAACAAAAAGTTACGCTTTAATGTTGCAATACAAAATATTAATTTAGTAATAAATTATTAGATTATTTTATATATTTAGATTGCACTGAACAAAGTGGTTTAGTATTTTAGAAACCTTTTAACCCTATTCTTGGCACTGTGTACAATTTGATACGTTCAACTTTTAGAAAATCCCGAGACTTTCTCAAATGAATTTTTAAATTTTTATTGTTTAATATATTAGAAAATATACTTATATTTCTACCAAAAATTCTATTTAAGTGCTTGCAGCACCAAAAAGAGCTGTAGAACGCAAGATGGCTGACCGATCGAATGCGTCTACGCATCGCAAGGTAAGAATAATCATTATTTATTATATTTTGTTCAAATTGTTATCAAAATTAGTCTAATTCGCATAGCTTATTATATATTCTAGTCATAAACGTTATTTTCTGTACCTAAATGAATTGTAAGTGCATGTTATCTTATGTGTTTTTCGAGTGTAGCAAATATGATACATTGCCAGATGGCGAACATTCTAGATATTTTTTGCTACGTGTCAAATATGTGACATTGCCTCGTTTATAGATACTACTCGGGTTTGATTCCCAGTCCGCGGCTATAGTCAGGCTACGATTAGATTGGCTGTTGTGGTCAAAGATGACAATTTTATTATAATTATTTCTTGTTTTCTTCCGCAGGTACTTCCTCACCTTATTATTCAACAACAAAGCGAAATCAGATTTGGACGAAAGTGATCATTTGAGGATGAATTTCAGTACTACACCCGCCCAGCGCACTCCGATAGCAGTTCACCACCTCCATCACTGCTATCTTCAATAGAAAACCTAAATCTTCTCTCAGATGACGATATTGAGGTAAATCAAGTGGTTGCTTCAACATCTTTGGTACTATATCAACAGTCATCAGTGTCATCACCATCAATCAACCCTTGTTCGCCATCAATTTTATCGCCCAATCCGTCAGAAACTGAGACTAGTCCTTGGTGTCCGGTACCGTCACCTTTATCAACAAGAGTTAGTAACTTCAAGCGGCGTAATCAGTTACCGCCGCCGTCACCTTTGTTTGACTTTATCCTTCAACAGCTACTCGTTCAAAGAGGCCTAGAGCGCAGAGTAATACCACCAAAAAGGTTAGAACCTAATTGGAGTCGCTTCAAGTTTACTGGTTGTGCAGAAGTGGATGATATCGCGTTTGAGCAACGTGAAGAGAAAAGTCAAATTGAATACTTTAGGCTTTTTTTTTCTGATGACATCATTGCTCTTATAGTGCAACAAACACATTTATATAGCACACAATTAAATGGCAATTCAATAAATATTACAGAAGACAATATCAAAGATTTTCTGGCAATTCTTATATACATGAGTGTCAATAAATTGCCAGCTTATACAGATTATTAGGTTAAACTTACGCGATGCGACAAAGTAGCTGATATAATGACCCTCAAGAAGTTCCAATTACTGAGGCGTTATTTGCATTTTAATGACAACTTCAAAGACGATGGTGATAGGTATTATAAGGTGAGACCAGTTCTTCAAAAAATAAGTGAGAATTGTTTACAAGTAGAAGAAGAGACACATTTCAGCATAGACGAAATGATGATTCCACATAAAGGAAAAAGAGCAGGCAGCCGAAAACAATATATAAAAATAAACCGGAAAAATTGGGTTATAAAATATTTGTTCGCGCAGGTGTCTCTGGAATAATTTACAACTTCCTGATCTTTGGAGGCGATGACACGTTCAGATTTCACTCTTTCACGGATGAAGAAAATAATCTATTCGACAACCTGCTTGCAAAATCCTGTGTTTCGATAACTTTTACACATCTATTGAGTTGTTAAAATTGTTTAGGCAAAATATTAACCGTTTGAAAATTGAATTCATAACGCACGCTCGGAGCATGCATAGCACCGTAGCAAGGTCACCGCCGCCCCTTCGCGCGCTCGCATTCCATTCGAAGTCGTGTCGAACGGGACGCGTCAAGAGAATCTTTTTTTGTTTGTTTTACGTGTCAACGAGGCTGAATTTTGAGTTTTGAGCGATTAACTAACGTCTTTACAATTAATTAACGTCAAGTTGTATAGTGGTTGCATGCATAAGTGCATTCTGACAATATTAATTCGCGTCGACGAGTTGCTTTGTGCCCTTTGATTTAACTCGGGAGATATTTTCCTATGACGGTTAAAATCTCTAAACTCGCGCGACCCGCGAGAACCAGTGTTCGTATTAGATTATAGATTTGTGCTAAGGGACGCTAGACTTTGAGTGACACCGAGTGACGCCGCTGGAGTGATACCACATAAGGTGGCGGTGCTGGAGTCAGGGTTGCTGCTGATTAAAAAGGGCTAATTCAGGTTAAACATATATACACTTCTCACACACTACTTACATTCACTACACCTAACGCCTGAACGTGCCTTGTGGTTCGTCTTCGCTTCTGACCCAGGTTGGTAGCATGAAGTACCTAATCCATATATATTAAATATCCATAGGCATTTGAGCCCCACACTTAGTTGTCCGTCGAATCTAACAGCTGTATGGGCCCCTGTATGGTCGGCCTTAGTCTGGGCAACTAGGTGCGTGTACAAAAATATTTGCGCAATAAACGCGGCATTTTTGCAATGGGTATAATCCGAGCAAACAGGCTCCGAAGAGCGGGGAATAAACTACCCACGGATAAAAAATCTAAAAAAAATGGTAGAGGATCTCATGCACAAGTCGTATGCAATAAAAACAAGATTGCTGTTGTCAAATGGTTCGACAACAAATGTGTTACTGCTGCATGTACTTTTGTGGATGCGTATCCTACCCAGAATGTGGTTCGTTACAAGAAAGAAGAGGGTACAAAAGTGCCAGTGGCTTGCCCCAATTTAATAAAAGAATATAACACTAACATGGGCATTTTTATACGTGGTAGAGCCATGCTGCATCTATATTATGGTTGTAGGACGAATGGGTCAGCTCGACCGGGGAAGGACCACGCTCTCACAGAAAACCAGCGTAAAATAGCAGCTTAACGCTGCTGTGTTTCGTATGGTGAGTGTAGAGAACCGGAGACCCTTTTTACTGGAAACGAGGCATTCCATCTTAGTCCTCACAGGTGACAACGCATCTGCATTTTGACTCTTAATCGAAGATAGATGTAGATGTCTATGGGCCACAGCGACCACTTACCATCAGGTGGACTGTGTGCTCGTTTGTCACCCTTATCCTATAAAAAAATGGGCGGTGTTGATCTCGCCAACATATTGGTCGCTCTATATCGTACACCATTCCGAGGCCATCGCTGGTATTTTCCAATATTTTCTTAAATACTCGACATCTGTATAAACAATTCCTGGCTTTTATATCGGCGTGATAGAAAAGCCAGAATGGATACTAAAAAACGAAAATCACTAAAAAAACTTTAGAATGGAAATTTCTGAAAGCTTACGGAGGTATGAAAGAACTGATATGAGCGATATCAGCAGGCCTGGCATGAAATCAACCAAGACTATACAGAGGCCAGCAGCTGAAAGACCACCAGATGGACCTGTATGGTATGATCAAGTTGCTCATTATCCAACTATAATAACCAGCAGAGGAAGGTGTATGTATTGCACAAAGGGGTTGACTAAATTTTTTTTGTCAAAAATGTAAATTGAGGTTGTGCTTATTGCCGAAACGTAATTGTTTCATAGAATACCTTTATACTAAAAAATAATACTTTATTTATTTATTTATATTTTATTTTTAATTGTAAGACTGATTTTTGACTTGATTTTTATGATTGATCTCAATTTACCAATAATTTAGATCTATAAGATGCAAAGGCTGTTTTTTATGTTAATTTTTATACGTATATAGAAGTACAAAATAATTATGTTTTATTGTTTTGTTATTTCACTGAGAATGTTGACATTTATGTTTAGTTTTGTTACAATTACGAGTATATTTAAAACTCATTTATTAACTGCACTCAAAGACTGCCAGTGTAGCAAGTTAGATACGTAGATTTTATAGCGTTGATTGTTAAGGGTCTGGCAATGTATCTAATATGATACCCAAGAACATATTTAAGATAATTCTTTTCAATATTTCTAAAATATTTTTTCTTGCCAAGTATAGAGTTAAATATATTTAGGGTAGAATTGTAAAATAAAGAATGATATCAAAAGAAACTTCATTTTAAAATCATTTATTTCATAAATAGTAAAAAATCACGTTATATAAATAGATGAATATTATTCCATGCTACTGTTTGCCTATTTTCCAATATCTTCCTTCAGAGAAACGGTTCTATTGAAGACCATCTGAAAAATAAGTTTTGTTTAATAAAGGAACTTTAAATTAACATACCAGTGTCCAGTGCTCTCTAAATAATATAATATTAAGTAATAAAGTTGGATTTGTACACGGGTTAGTGCACGAGTGTATGCGCACACTTTCTATTCTCTCACTAGTTCGATGGAATGGCAACCCGACACGACCGAAGAACGATACTTTTCAAAGCATAGGGTTGGGGTAAAACACCGCAAATTTCCTGACTCCGGCATGATGAGAATTTGTAGATAGTAAAACCTAATAACTAATATTGTGCCTATCCGGGATTCGAACCTGGGACCATAAAATTAGGAGTTACGTTTTCGACTACTAGACCAATGAGGCAAAGGCAAAAGAAATAATAATTATTATTAATAACAAACAAGCCGCCCCGGTTTCGTCTGGATCTATCGACGTGGAGTTTTTTAAATTTTTTAAGGTAATCAAAGATTTTTCATCATTTTATTATTATTCCAAAAATAAAACAAGTTTTTCAGATAAAATATACCCTAGATCTCGGCTGGCATTGCTTTCTATCTGTTCGAAAAGTTTCATTACAATTGGTTCAACTATTCCGAAGATAAGCCCGGACAGACAGACAGACTAAAAGGTTCAGTTTGCTGGCGCAATGAGTTTCACTTAGATTAATCATAAGTCATCGCGCGCACTAACTAGATACCGCCGGCGCTCATGTAAAATGCGGCAACAAATACTACGCCGAAATCGACGTACCCGGGCCAGTCGCGTTGCAGGCAACGTGTGAGGTGGACGTACGAATGTTTTATTAAATTTTGATCATAATCCGAAGTAAAATACCACTTTACGTATTGAAACTGTGTAAAAATAATACTACAAGAAATAAGAAAGACACTGGAATCACATACTATCAGTAAGTCTCATACAATTTCGAAATTTTAACATAAAATAACACGAGCCATAAATAAGTCACAAAATATGAAAAACGCTATTCAGTGTTGCCGCGCATACAAAAATAAAGTTCCCCGTGGCTGAGATTTTTTATGTGAATTTATTGTTACTATATTTTATAATATAATATATTTAACTTATTATAATATAACCTAATTCTATATTATTTAATGTTTATTTCTGTAGTATTGCTCAAATGACATAATCACGTTTATTAGGGTTCCGTACCCAAAGAGTATCAACGGGACCCAAGTCTCCACTATCGTTCCGTCTGTCTGTCAGCAGGCTTATTAGCAACAGGCTAGTATCTTATGAACCGTAATATGTAGATACTTGGAATTTTCACAGAATGTGTATTTATATTGCTGCTATAACAACATAAAATAAAATAAAATATTAAAGGACGCAAAAAATCACGTTTCGTGTATGAAGACCACACAAGAAACGTGATTTTTTTCTGTATTGATATGTTTTGTTTACAGACTAAAGTGAAACCTGGATTAACACGCAATAAAATTATGCTGTGTGTATGGTGGGATTGAAAGTTTATCATGAACTTTTACCGCCGGGTCATTTAAATATAAAAATTAAACTGATAAAAATGAGGCCTTATAATTTATATGACATTTATTCAGAAGAAAAACCTATACATAATATAAACAAATATATTGATACATTCGCTATCATAACATTGAACTTAACTACTAAGCCATAGCATAAAATAATTTTTGCCGTTAATCGGGTAATAGTTAAGCTGCTGGCATATACAATTTTTCACGCACACTAGCATCCTTGCAATTGTCTTTCGATTCACGGAGCTGTTATTTTCAGGTAGTGCGGTATCTAGTCAGAGCGCGCGATGACCTATTAATAATCTAAGGAGTTTCATTTTCACACACGCACTTATCTATAGACTTATTATATGTATAGCTAAATCCTCTTTATGACTAATAGAACCACCAACAACCATTATAACTTAGCAACTTAACAATAAACTTTAAAAAAAGGAAAGCTTAAAAATTATAAAGTTACGTATCTTATGCTAAATTTCGGTATGTCTTATAATGCAGGAATGACGGAATGCCCTCACAATGACAATGCTGAAATATATTAGTTAAACTTACTATTTCAGAAGAGGTATCAGGATCAACGGAAAAGAATCCGATTCGCTCGAACTGAAACTTGTCATACACTTTTGCAACTTTTATCGATTGATCGGCGTAGGCCTCCACTACCACCTTCAAAGTGTCTTCGCGGCAATCGGACAGAAAACCACCCGGAACTTCGTTTGGATCCTCTGGATTTTTATGTTTGAATCTGAAATTAAAAATAAGTTGCAATTTAATTTTAGGTAGTGTAACTTTTGAAAATATAGACCGCGTTGTTCAGTGGTTAGAGTATAACCCGAAACAGTTAAATTCCACCCTTACGGCATTCGATCTTCCCTCCCGACCCCCCGCCGTTTATCGTCCCCGCCGTCGACGCGTCAGTACTGCCAACGAATTAAAAATTCGAAACGCGTGGGACGTTTGGTTTAGATTAGTTTTTTATACTATGTTTTTTTTTCATAATCGCTGTTTATTTGGCGGTTTTAAACAGATAGTGACAGTGACAATGATTATGTATTATCTGGAGTACAAGCTTTTTTAATGTAAAATAAAAGTATTTTAACAGCGTGACTCGCGCTCGTGCGCGCGGTGAATACCCACGCGCTTATATCCACAGAGGCATTAAAAAATTGGGTCTAGGGGACGATTGACCCGTTGGATCGGTCTGCCTATATACAACGTGTCCCAAAATTCAACGATAAGCCAACACCGGAGGATAGACCTGCCCCGGACTAATCGGGTAAAAAAAGAAAAAAAATATATCCCAATTATATTTTAAGTTATATAAAAAAAATGAAATTCTTCAGAAATTGAGACCGTTTATGATATTTTTCACTACCATGACCACAATTTTTTAAATATTTTTTTCTTTTTTTTTTATAGGCAACCTGAATAGTACTGCTATCTACCACAATTCTTAAAAACTCCAGAATAACTCTTGTTTTATCACGAAAATTAATGAAACTTATTTTATTCCCTAAATTTTTTGAAGACTTTTACTTTTAACCAAATTTAACTTATCGTGGTGTAAAAAAAAGTATGAACACTAGTATGGCAAGTTTTTTTAAAAATTGACGCAACTAACCAATATTCCAAAATGGTATAATACTCTAGGAAAACAAGTTATAAAAAAATATGGGCCTATTATTTCTTAACAGGGGCCAAATTCCTTAAATTGTAATTGTCAGTAATCACTTTTACTACATGCCCAAAATGGGTTCCTGTTACAATTTCTAGGAATTCGAATGGGGCATTAATACCTTAGATGTTAGAGAGAGATAGATAGATAGAGATATTTACGTTAAAAAGAGACAACAACAGGGCAGGTAGAGAAGCTGTTATTATTCTCAGCAAGTCGGTTCAGTACGCTCTGCTCCTTTGTTTACTGCGCACCGTACCCAATTCAACTTACGTGGCCCTCGTACATACTATCGACTTTTGGCTTGGCTTTTTGGACTGGAATCGACCTGCAAACTTAACTGACCTGGCATTATTTGGACTGGAAGTGATCTGCAAACTGAACTGACCTGGCATTATCTTGGACTACGATTGTGTGTTTTGTGATTTAGAGTTCTGGCGCATTTTGGACTGTTTGGCGTTTAACATGCCGCAACCGTACACACCACAGGAATACGCTAATATGCATTTAATCTATGGAGAATGCCGATGTAATGCTAACGCTGCTAGCAGACTGTATCCAGAAAGATACCCAAATGCTCAAAGATATCCTGATTATCGAGTGTTTATTAATGTGCATCAAGCGTTTTCGGAGGGTCGTATGCCATCCAATAGGAGCAGCGCTGGAAGACCTAGATTGGATCGTGATGAAGAAGTTCTCAAGGAGATAGAAAATGACTCGACTACTTCGGTACGTGCCATAGAAGAAGCTACAGGAATCCCGAAAAGTTCTGCACATCGAATATTAAAACGTCACAAGCTTCACCCATATCACTACAGGCGTGTACAGACGTTATTACCGCGGGACTATCCGCTACGGGTCACATTTTGCCGTGTAATGCTGCAAAGGCACAGTGAAGATCCCCACTTCCTAGACAAAATTCTATGGTCGGATGAAACAACGTGCAAGAAAGATGGGTATTTAAATCTTCACAATCTACATAGTTGGAGTAATGAAAATCCACACTTGATGAGACAAGACAAATCCCAATATCAATTCAAGGTTAACCTATGGACCGGCATATTAAATGGAAAAGTAATTGGGCCCTTTGAGTTACAAGGAAACTTAGATGGCAATAGTTATTTAAACTTTTTACAAAATGACTTGCAAGAATTGTTAAACGACGTGCCCTTAAGTGATCTTCAAAACATGTGGTTCCAAAATGATGGTTGCCCAGCACATTATGCCCGTCCTGTGCGAGAATATTTAAATCAAGAGTATCCAGGGCGTTGGATCGGGCGACTTGGTCCTATCTTATGGCCACCCCGTTCACCCGATTTGAACCCCCTGGACTTCTTCTATTGGGGTTGTCTTAAAAACAGGGTCTACTCAAAACCCATTGTGACATTGGACGAGCTTCGTCGAAATATCACTCAGGCTGCTGATTACATTAATAGCAGAAGATATGCAAGACAAATAAAACGATCATTTTTAAGGCGATGTCGTGCATGTATTAATGCTGGTGGCAAACAGTTCGAACATTTGCTATAATGTTAATAACTTAATAAATTACACGTGAAACTGTTTGTACCATTTGTTTTGAAATATTAAACATTTTTCAAGAAATAATACTTTTATTACACCCGACCGTCATTTGGCCCCTGTTAAGAAATAATAGGCCCATATTTTTTTATAACTTGTTTTCCTAGAGTATTATACCATTTTGGAATATTGGTTAGTTGCGTCAATTTTTAAAAAAACTTGCCATACTAGTGTTCATACTTTTTTTTTACACCACGATAAGTTAAATTTGGTTAAAAGTAAAAGTCTTCAAAAAATTTAGGGAATAAAATAAGTTTAAAGTCTTACATACGTGTAATAAAGGGCTGCGGCTGTGTGTGCTGGAACAGTTAGAGATATTAAAAAGTAATAATAATACCGTTGCATTGCTGAATGAACAAACAAATGTTACTAACTCACCTCTCTTAAATATCTTCAAGCCTGCTCTCTAATAATGTGGGCGTTGCGCGGCGGTTTGTTTTTAATTTTACAAACGGCTGCGTAAGTCCAGCGGTGATTGGTCGCATGTTTTATCGCATGACGCAGTCGCTCGCTTCTTAGGTAGAGAGCGGTTGCGTCATCGGTTTGTATAAAAGGCAGTTGTTTTGGCTCGCCGCTCACTTAGCGGTTAGCCACCGTAGAGTCTATATCACCTGAGGATGCCTCGTGTAGAGGCGAAACACGTGTCGTATTATCGTCAGTGGTGTGTCTTGCCTAGTGTAGTGGTGTTGGGAGTAGCGGTGCTGGGATTAGTGGTGACGGGGTTAGTGCACGCAATTGAGGGAGGGCGGGAGGTGCTTCTTCATACTAGGTAAGACACATCATTTTATTTTATAACGCGGATATTTGCGAAGTAAATTTTTGTAAAAGCTTTTTTTAAAATAAGTTTCATTAATTTTCGTGATAAAACAAGTTATTCTGGAGTTTTTAAGAATTGTGGTAGATAGCAGTACTATTCAGGTTGCCTATAAAAAAAAAAGAAAAAAATATTTAAAAAATTGTGGTCATGGTAGTGAAAAATATCATAAACGGTCTCAATTTCTGAAGAATTTCATTTTTTTTATATAACTTAAAATATAATTGGGATATATTTTTTTTTCTTTTTTTACCCGATTAGTCCGGGGCAGGTCTATCCTCCGGTGTTGGCTTATCGTTGAATTTTGGAACACGTTGTATATAAGAACGGAGCTTCAGAATGTAAGTAAAATTGAGTAATTTTGTTGAGAGCTTTAAAGCGTTTGCAAAACGATACTGCCGACGGAAAGTGTCTGAGAGTATTGATGATTGATTTTTAACGATATTATATAACATTATACGTAAAAATCTGCTGACAGAATCAACATGAGGTGAGCAATGTTTTTACCTACCTTAATTACCTGAAATCTGGAAAATGGCCGTCTGGCCAAGCACACATATTTCGTTCGTCAGAAAATAAGTGACGTCTAGTGTCCCTGGGATCTTGGACTATTACGCTTACATTGCAATAATACTATTATGTCAATGACTTGAACTACATTGTTTATGTATATGAAAATAAATGGAATAAAAGTCCATTTTTCAATTTCGTTTGTCAATTGCCAACTTTTTTAATCTACTACCGTTTCAAAATGAGGTCCTGCTGTCTGGAGATGAAACAGCAAAAGAAACTCTGTAGTTAACCTTTTTTGTCATTTATTTAAAAGCCAACTATTCAATATTCATAACTAAAAATGAAATGAACATGCTTATGTTCTGTAACAAAATTACACATCAAAAATATGCAATATTAAAGCTAATAAATGCTTGCAACACATGCCCCCCGACCCGAGCAGATCATCTGGGCTATGCGCTTATACTCGTATTTTTATTCTTCGGTGGGAGTTGTACGGTGTACAATTATACTTTTTTCATTTTATAATGACAAATTATCCTTTAAAATAATTTTTAATGTCTGTATATTATGAACCGTATATTTTTAATGTGTATAGGTTGTAAAGTTGCATAACAGTTTTCTTTCATTTTAATCAGGTATTCTAGAAAATTTAAAATATAGATATGGATCGACTTATTTCGAATTTCTACAAGAAATTATTGGTGAATATAGGCCCACTATAAAGATTATATTTAACAACAGTTTTACTCAAGTCTTTTCTGCGACAATAGTGGTTTGATTTTTATATGTAGGTAGATGTAAGATAGGTTTTAAGTAATTTTTAATATTAACGCCAGGTTTTTCAGCAATACTTACAAAGGTTCGTAGAGCCGCACTTCGACAGCAATGGGCTCAGATACCCAATGGATGAAGGCCTTTGGTTTCTCTGCGGTTGTTACTGGTTCAGCTTGGCACTCAACCTCAACAACCTTACCAGCATCATCTTTAATAACTTTTGATACCTGTCGTAAAATGGATATGATTTATATGGAAAGAATTTTTATTTTTAAATATGACTATCCTGTTAGTATATAAAATTATTCTGTCCGTGTGTATGTGACTGAACTCCTAAACGGCTGGACCGATTTCGATGAAATGTTGTGCGTGTGCTTAAGTTGATTCGAGAATGGTTTAGATTCACAATTGGACCCGGTAGGTGGCGCTGTTATCGAGATCGAGAAATCACCCGTGCGAATATCTGGGGCGGATCGCTAGTAATACTACAAAATAATGAATACTTGTTGAGATAAAATAAATAATAATCTCAAATAATTAAATAAACAAAAACACCTAGTGAAAGAAATCGGGTGATTTTCTCTTACGGCGTAACGAGCCTTCTTTCTATGCCCGCGTATACCGAATGAATATATAATAATTATTTGAGATCGTAAGAGAGAAAATCACCCGATTTCTTTCACTAGGTGTTAAAAGATAATAATGAGAAGTTATGACAGAAATGGCATTCATATCCATCTAATTATATAATATCATCGCATCACCCTCAATAGCTCATTAGATTTGCATCGCTCAAAAGTGCTAACCCATAGTGGGCAGGCTGGTTTGTGGGTGCAGAGACCCACACTGGCAAAGGCTCTTCCAGATAGCTGCGATAAAACGGTCGATAATACCGTATGCGTTATTGCGATATCTGTTCTTAGTAAATTTTGTATTATGGTGCATGCGATCACTGCTGCGAAAGTAACGACGCGGTAGGTCTAGGACACTTGCATTCTGGTATCCTGCGATATTCCGATGGCTATTGTCAGTACATAATGTATTAGGACGCATGTGATTTTACACGTACCATACCAGTTCTAATAACACTAGTAGGGCCTCATTTAGGTTTTACGTTCGCTAACGGTGTAGTGCTGGCGGTGGCCTGTAGAAGTATACACACGGGAAAACTGGACGATAAGAACGCAACTGTTTAGCAAGGACGCGGGCGCATTATTGCAATAATGGATGCGTTATTAGTTCAATCATTCTAGCTAAAATTTTGGCAAAATAAAAAAAATGTAATTTTATCTATCGGCATTTTTTTTATCCACTCCCCCTCCCCGCCACAAGTGTAATGAAATGTGGTTTTATCCGTTAAAACTGAATGGCCGAATCAATTAAATTTTAAAAGTAGTATAGCAACATGAAATAAAAGAGGTTAGAAATAAATCATACTTCTTTTTAAAGAACATATTCTAATTCTTTACTTTAGTCATACATATATTGGCGGTAAAGTAGATATTTTTTTAAAAAACTAAACTGAGCAAAAAATATTTGATTGATCATTAAAAAAATATATTTTTCATAGCAGATTGCGCGGAAACTATAAGTGATATCGCTGTTGCCTGTAAAAAAGGTTAATAGCAAATTTATCAAGGATCATTTCGTACCTACACTTTTTTCATGCATAGTGTAGTGTGTTTTCTTTAAAATTGGAAAAAACCGTGCTTGGAGCCACTTTCTGCGGCGCTGAGGGCTGACGATCACCCGAGAGGGAGAGGGAGAGTGAATAAAATTTAGCTTCGCTCTATAACATACATATGCCGATATATAAAAGTGCTCCATTAATTTTGCGAATTTTTCCACACATTGCTATCTAGAATGCTTGCAAAATATTATCAATCGTTATATCGTAACTATTTGGTGGAGCCTTAATGCTGCTCCCTCCTCAACATTTAAGTTTATTTCTGGTTGAATTTTCCGCCATTATCTCGTCGTTATAGCAGAATGTGATCGCAAGTAAGACGAAGTGATGGTTTTTAAAGGAAAGTAAAACAATATGTGAAATAAGAATAGAAGGGGTGTTGATTGAGCAAGTGGACGAGTATGTGTATTTGGGAAGTGTATTTATCTATAGAATGAATTAACACAGGCAATAGGAGTAAATGAGGCTCTAAACTCTATTGTGGTAAGCCAGAAAGTGTCAAAAAAGGTACGTATGGCAATTCAGAATGATGTGTTAGTCCTTGCTTTAATGTATGGCAGTGAAAGTTGGGTGTGGCAGAAGAAGCACGAGAGTAGAATAAATGATGTTTATGTGTCAGAGCCTCGTTCGTCAAACATCAGGGTGCACCATTTTTCCATAGGGGTTGATATTTTAAGAAAAAGCCGGTGTATTCTACCTAATACAGCTAGACATTTGTTCCCGGACCAGAGAGGGGAAGCATTGTCAAAGATATCTAAAGTCTAGCTCCAGTAAACAATCCGGCTTCCAGAGGTCAGAATGAAGGCAAAGTATAAGAATATAAGATTAAGTGGTTATACCACAGCCTAAGAGGAACATATAGTCAGTCATCGCGTCTGATGTTGTCGGAAAAGCGAACCTAAACAATAAATTGCTAGAGCTGTCGGAACGGGAAGTAATAAAAAATAAAAATAAACTGATTTTATTGTATTTCACGTTTAAACAAATTAATGTGTATGTGGAAACTGATTAAACTAATTCTTTATCTTTAAAGGAGGACGACCCACAATTTTTTACCGCACATGTAGTGTGAACCATTTGGATTTATTTGCGTGACAGGACAATAGTTCGCATGCGGCTAAGGGCCGCTCGGGAAGTGTTCAGTCCGCGTCTTGCTCCGCTCTGTACCGCACGATTGCCCCGGCTTTATTCGATAACCGACTGTTAATAGTAGTTAGACTGTAGTTATACTATACCTTTATAACATATTCGGAGTATCGTAAGCCTACACACTGTGTCGGGGTTAGGCGACGGTAACCCTTCTCCGGTTGCTCTTTGAAGTCAGTGGATTCTATATACAGCACTTTGTTGAACAACACCTTATGAGATCCCTTTTCGGGCTGGTTCGGAAAATCTGGTACTGTATATTCCTTCGGCGCATTGTCTTTATAGTTAGCTATTGTAATTTTCAGGGGTTCTAGGACTACCATTGTTCTAAAATGAATAGAATACAACAAGTTAAAGATTAGAAGTCAATAGTTAGGTTTTGATTTTTGTTTTAAAAAAGAAAAGCCTTACCTCCACACTAGGATTTTCTCCTGTAATGTGGGGGCAGTTTACATACATAAATTTCACAAGGACAAACATACAGACCCGGAACAATTATTTGTAAGCCATACAAATACTGTTGCGTGTGGAATTCAAACCCTCGGCCCTTGGCGCTGAAACTCATTGCTAAGCCACTGCGTCACGGAGCCGTTAAAGGTTATACTCTTATCTACACTAATTAAGGTTGAATTTTTACTGTCATCACAATACTCTTGAAGATTTGATTGATTATTTCAATCTAGAAGCATAAAATTAACAGCCGTAAATGAATTAACTGATAAATTGTTCGGCTTTAGTTTTTTTTAATTTTAATCAATATTTTAAAATAATAGTTTTACATTTACTTTTACATTTGCCCTAAAAGGCGAAATGGAGCACATTAAATATCAAATTAACATTGAAATTGTGTAATATAAAAATGTATGTGTTTTGAATTTAATATTTCAAATATAAAAGACCGAATCTAAATAAAAAGGATAGAAACAATTACCTGGGTGCGGTGACGTTAAGCACATCTCTCACAGCTGCGTCTAACATGGTAGGGTCAACTGCCCCCACAGCTCCCGTTACTCCCAAACCGGCACAGAATGAATTTATAGCGGATGCGGGAACACCACGGCGGCGTAGTGCTGTCAGAGTATAGAGGCGTGGGTCGTCCCAATCTGAAAACAAAGTATCATGACGCTGATGCTCTAATTGTCAATTTCAACTACGGAGATAAATTCCGAATACTGTCAAAAGATATAAAAAGATCAGGACATATCACAGTTACAGTACGACAAATGCACGAGCAAACACAGGACATAAACTAGGCCTAACCTTTCAACATGTGATAGAGTCACTCTGCGGTGCAAATGAGTTGCCTCGACCAAGGAGAACCACGCTTGCACAGAATATCAGCATAATAAGGCAGCACAATGCTATTGTGTTTCTTAAGGTGAATAACATGAACCCGAAACCCATTTTACTGGTAACAAGGTATTCATTCTATCTAAGTCCTCAAGGATGACAGCGTTTCTGCATTTTGATACTTAGTTGAGGATAAATGTAGGTGTATATGAGCCACTCCATATCTGTTTACTTATGTGGTAATATCGTAACCCTCTATTTCAACAGAAGTCAAGTCAATCAATCAAGTCCTTGTCCATAAGGTTTTGCTTAATCTGCCCCGTAATAATATCCTGATATTATTAGATCTAATAGGTTTGACAAGGAATTCTAAACCGAAATAAATTTTATATTTATGGTTTGCCTTCGTGTTTTTTAAAAATGTGTTTCGATCTAAAAGTAATGCTTCTCAAACAGCACTATGTCAAAATGGATCGACAAATCAATGAAAACACTGCTAACTGCTATGTACGACGTTTTCTCAGTACATTAAAAACATGTACAGTTGATATTAAAAAAAAAACTGAAAATGCTGTTGTGGCATTTTAAGCAAAAAAAAATTGTTTAAAAAATACCATTAACAATTCCTTCATCAATAAGCTTGGCAATTTTCCTTTTCGAGACAACAGTGTAGTTGACATTTAAGCGGCCATATTCCCACTGCACAGGGCAGTAAATGTCCAGGGCATTGCACAGCCAGTAATATGATGATCTGTAAACATTATGAAATAACATTTTTATAAAATAATGAAATTGTTATTATACTTGTTTATTTTTACAAGTTATCTACTGTCAAATATGGCAGCTTATCTATTGGTTTAGTGAGCAATATTTACAAATTATTTTTCGCTGCTGAGCATGAGCCTCTGCATAATAGAAAGGACTTTGCCTTAATTGTCATGTGTGGAAGACGGATGTGATGGGAGACTGCAGTATGAGTAGTACTTAACAGAGCCACCCTGCTGCTGTATTATCACCGCAGTAAACAGGTGGCTCGACCCAGGATGAACCATAATCTCACAAAATTAGGGTGACAAGTGAGCACTCAGTCCACCTGATGGTAAGTGGTTGCTGTGGCCCATAGACACCTACATCTATCATTATTTGCGAATAAAATGTAGATGCGTTGTCAGTCGTGAGGACTAAGAAGGAATGCCTCTTTTCCAGTAAAAAGGGTCTCCGGTTTTCTACACTCACCAGCCAAACGAAACAGCAGCTGCTATTTTACGCTGGTTTTCTGTGAGAGCGTGGTCCTTCCCCGGTTTCGAAAAAAGAAATATTGATCGGTTTTTTAAGCATAGCTCCTTCATTTTAGGTGATGGAAATTTTTTTTCAGAAACGATTTTGTAGGGCTCTTCAGGAGCTATAAGACTATGTGAATTAAACTACTTAAGATCCATTTATTTTTAAATGGGGAGAGTTTAAAGCGCTCGAATAAGGTGATGTTCGATCGTAAATGTAGGTGTTAAACGGCTATATCTCGCCGAATATTCACTGTACAAAAAATCTGCACACAGTGAATTTTTTTCATTAAAAAAGCTACAATTTAGTACTTTATCGTTTTTTTCGTATCTTTAGTATTTTGGGAGATATTTTTAAGAAAAGGGTTAAAAACACGAAATTGAAAAAAATCGTTTTCTCTTTAAACTCCAATTTTTCTAAAATTAGGCATTTTAAATTGGTCAAACTTCGTGGGTGTATTAATAGTACATATATAAAGAGAATCACAGAAGGGTGGCGATCAATTTTAATTACTTTGGGGATTGTTTTCACAGATTATTTTCGTAGAAAAAAGCGGGTACCGATTTTATTTTGATCATAAGTCGGTCAATTTTCAAAAAATTTTGTTTGAAAGTTCAAATTAAATACTTTAAAAAAGGTTCTATGAGCTTTCTTCGAATAATGCAAATTTTTCTCGTTATTTCGCTTTAAATCTTCCAATTTATGCATTTGACGAAAAAAGCTAAGCATTCATTTGCTGTATCTCAGTTCGTATTTGTCGTAGAAAAATTATAAAAAAGCATTGTTTTTGTTTTTTTTAAAAGCTACAATTTGGCTCTCTACACTTTTTTTGATAAAATGCATATTTTTAGAGTTATTCGCAAAAAAAAAACATTTAAAAAAGTCGAGTTTTGCGTCAAAAAACTGTGACTTTCAACTTTGAATAACTCGTAAAATATTAGTTTTACGAAAAATACGTATATAATATTTTTTTCTTAGAATTACTTTTTCCGTCGATTCCTATAGTTAAAATGTAATAATAAATTCCACTCCCGAGATGGGGTGGCAACCACCCCCAAGGCTCTAGCGTACAGCGGCATGATATAGACAATGATCCTTGAGCTATTCCCTACCTTCTGCGTAAATTTCAAGTAAATCAATGGTGGACGAAAAAATTGCGAGCCAAAATGCTTCATCCTAGACTACGACCATGTATGTCACTGGCTAAATTGCCTGACCAGCAAAGTGATTAATTCAAATGCTCGGCAGTCAAGAGAAAATATATATTATCCAATATTAGTTTATAGACTCATATAGATTATATAATATAATTCACTCATAATTTTTGTGGTCCGTGGCGCAGGGGCTTACTCGTAGCACTGAGTTGTAGGTGCCGACGGCCGCGAGTACGAATCCCGCACGGAATAAGTATTTGTATAGCCTACAAATAATTGTTCCGGGTCTCGATTTTTTATCCTTGTGAAATTTTTGAGTGTTTATAAAAAAAAATCATTATGTTATTGGATATGTTGTTATAATTACCTCCTTGACTGAAATTCTTTGGTGCAAAGTGAATGTGTAATATGCTCAATGCTATCACAAAGGCAATGAGTATAATCATAAGTAGGATAAATACACCACTTGTTGCCAGTGCGATGGTGAGGTTTAAATTTAATTCTGTATGCAACTGGGTCTTGTTTGCCTTCTTCTAGAGTTATCTTCATTCTAAGTGTGGCATCTCCTTCGTCAATTTTTCCATTTTTCATATCCTTAAAATAATGTAATAAAACACCAATTTTTAAGTGTCGCCATACTAATTATAATGGCAAATGATTTTCGAAATTATTTGTGATAATTGTTTTTATTTTATAAAATTTTAGTTTGTGTTTACATATTTATTTAATTATTTATCTCAAAGTAAAATTAGCTTTGATGAAGGATGTAAGAATGCAATATAAAGAAAACAATTATTCTTTGCGGTATGGAGTATTTTTCACAAAGTTTCTTTGTAAGCATGGATGAGAGATTTTGATTTCAGTATTGTTTTAGAAAAAAGAAATATTTAATAAATACCTCAAACAGTTGTAAGCTCTCCTCAATAGGTCTATTCCTCCATGGCGAAGGTGGGGGATTAAATCCTTTGATTTCTTCAGATTTTTGATGACACACATATGCAAGATCTTTTTTAATTAACTGCACTGCCCATTTATATAATTGATCAAAGTAGTCAGATGAATGAGTAATTTTGTATGGCTTATATCCTAAGAAAAAAATATTAAGAGTGTTCAGTGCTTGCATAAGCATAAATATACTGTGTGTCCGGTCACGGACTAGCAATATTCTAGGTTCTTATATTACAACAATTTCAACACACAAATACACTACATACTGCCGTCTAATCCCCTTCCCCTCTATGTGGCAAAAATTATGTTTATTTTCTTGAGATATTCTCTGTGTGTACAAATAAATCATCTCTCAACATTTTGGTTTAACTGAGATAAAAATAGGCTCATTCGGAGGGCAACAATATCGTCTATCGTTTACATTACAAAAAAATGGGTTCACATACTTTTAACTATAAAAAAAATTGTAGTAAAAAAAATTTAAATACAAATATATTTCTCTTGCGTCTGCTCTTGAATGGAATGTATCACCACATTCAATTGTGTAAGTGGAATGTATGGAGAATTTTGAAAATTCTCTTGAGATATTCTCTATGTGTGTACAAAAGAAATTGATGTTTTTGTACACACATAGAGAATATCTCAAAAAAAAAACAAATGGCTGCCACATACTATAGCGTTACAAGGCGTCCAGATAAAGCTGGACATGGGCACAGTCAAGCTTTTTGGTTGTGTGTGCGGCCAAATTAGTCGGTGTCCGACCTGTCCGGCTTTTGTTAAGCTTTTTAAATTTAACCATTTTTACATTTGTCGTGTGTTGATTTCCGCTTCACCCGCTTCTTAGTATTAATTACTTTTCGTTACAATTAATTTAAAGTTTATTTAGTTCATTAGTGTTTTGTTTAATTTTGTTTTTCATTGGAAATTGCAATAATAGTAAGTAGGTAAATAAAGTAAAGACTGATGATTAAAAAACGACTGGTTCATTAAATTTTATTATTATTTCATAAGAGTCTAAGACGATTTCCACATAGAGTGGAAGGGGATTTGACCACAGTGTGTAGTTATTTCTGTATTAAACAGTTGCAATATAAGTACCTAGAATATCGCTAGTCTGTAACGGGACAAACTGTATAGCATGAAAATTTTATTTACCTAGCCATTCCACCATGTCCTTGATACCAACAAAAAACTTTTCTTCTTCTTTTTCTGGATTTGTGTCATCATACCTTAAAAAACACAATCCATCATGCGCTGCTGCATATCCAAAATTTATGTTAATAGCTTTAGCGTGGCCTATATGTAGGATTCCATTTGGTTCAGGAGGAAATCTTGTACGTACTTTTCCTTGTGTTATTTTTAAATGTTCTTCAAGTAATCTTTTTGTGTTTGGAGTAACAATATAGCCATCTGTTTTATAATTCTCTCCAGGAGCATGAAAGGGCAGTTTTTTCATTAAATCATTTATTGATACTGGTCCACCAGAACTTATAAATGATTCAGGTTTTTCAAGCACTTTTGTTTCTACAAAGTGAATAAAATAATAAGTCTCGTGTTTATTAAGTTGTTGTTAGATAAAAGAAAATTTTCCTGTGTAGTTAATGCAAAAGTAAAAATGATTAAATTTATAGAATTTATTAGCAACTAACATACACAGCATATAGATAGGACATATATAGATGACTACATAAAATATTTTTGTTTGTATTGGTTTTTACATATTGTTTTACAAATTATATAATACATTGTTTTAGAGAACATAAAATTTATTAAAATAAATTTTATGTTCAGCATATCCAGTAATTTAATATGTTTTTAAATTTAAGTGAGTCGCCAACAATACACCAAGAACATGCGTTTTGTTTATAGTCTAATTATTAAGTTCAGTCAATCAGCCTCAGCTACTTCTTACAGCAGTTTCAAAAATGTATCAGCAGGTATGTACTTCTTGACATAATTGAACTGCCATCATGCCAGCAAGTGGAAGAGTTAGGACAGTCTGCATAGCAGTGATGTTAACATTTGGAAATACTTGTATAGGCTTCAAATAATAATATTTTGGTAATTTTTTTATTATTTAGTAAATTCACTGTTGCTGCGTAAGGATGTTGCATCCCTTTGCATTTCCATCTAACCTGCATTCCATCTATCGCATCTACCACAGGGAGTGTTCCCAGGAATTGTTCCGATTAATTCCAGCTGCCAAATTTCACGAACGCACATCGCGTTAAAATTTAGGATACAATCCTCACCATCTGGATGCTTGGCGGTCTACCACTGTGCGTTTTACGAGTGGAATTGTTTACCACCGGCGATTTTTCCGGACCGATATGACTTCGGGACCTTCAAGAAAAAAGCTTACTCCTTTCTAAAAGGCCAGCCCTGGTGTTGCGTTGTTTATTGGCAGCGGTAGTCACTTACCATCAGGTGAACCTCATGCTTGTTTGACCCTCTTCTATAAAAAAAACCATGACCTACCCTGCAGATCTTCTTTCTTGCTCTTCTTTGCACTATCCCCACTTTTCGTCTTTTTATCTGTTTTAGGAATAGGTGCTAAATCAGCTTCTGTTTTAGGGCCCAATAAATCTAAAATCTGAAAACAACAATTGTATAATAAAATGAGGGTTGGTGTAAAAGTGTAGTGGCAGAGTAAGAAAATCTCATTCTTAACGCTGACCCGAGTGTACGCGCGCAGGGAATTCCTTAAGCGGTGCGCTCGCGCAATCTTTCGATATACCTACATATCTGTAATTGTTGAATACGCGTCAAAAATGGAGTGTCAAAAATGTAAAAAGAATTTAGCTAAAAAAGGATCTCACTTCATTTGCCAAGGACCGTGTCAAGGAACTTTTCATAGAGGTTGTGTTAAGGGTCTTATGGCGGACATAAAAAATGGGAGGAATCGGATCTATTGTAATAACTGTGAAGACGATGGCTCGGAAGAAGAAGAACAAGAGGAATACTCACAGGACTACACTAAAATTCTCAAGGACATACAGCTAAAAGTGGCTGCCATTCCCGGGTTCAAAAAACAACTTGATTCCATTACGCAAAGTTTGAGTATGCTTTCCGATAAGTATGATATATTGATCGTAGAACATGAACAATCAAAAGATAAAATACATAAGCTTGAGAAAACTATCGCTGATTTCAGCAACAAAAGCGTCTATTTGCAAAAACAAAATACCGCCCTCGAACAAAAATTACACGAATTCGAGCAGGCATCTCGTAAAAACAATATTGAGATTGTAGGTATTGAACAGCTTCCCGGTGAAAATGTCACAGAGATTGTCTCAAAAATAGGAGATATTATCAATGTGAGCAGTTCGGATATAGAATGGGCTAGACGTACTCGATCACGAAAAGAAAGTACCAAACCAGCGTCCATTATCGTGGGCTTTAAGACTACAGGTACCAGGTCGAGGGACAGCTGGCTTGCCCAACGTCGCAACTTATCAGAAACGACGAGTAATATGATTACAAATGGTTCGGCTTTGAACAACATCTACATAAACGAAGACTTGACCAAGACAACGCGAGCCCTACTATGGTGTACTAAGAAACAGCTCCAAGGAATTTACAAATACATATGGGTTTCGAACGGGAAAATTCTTGTGAAGAAATGTGAAGGTGAAAAAGCAATATGCGTGCGAGCTGAAAGTGATATTTGTGATCTACTCAACAAAAAGTGAAAATATAACTATAGTTAGTTATTATAGTGTTTATTTGTCATATAAAGTTCGCAGACATAAGCAATATAGACTCCATATTACACGATGAATCTGTAAGTTATACGTGTCTTGATAGCTTAAATACGTGGGTGCAACAATTGCACAATATCAAAGACTTATGTTTATTACATGTAAATATTCGATCCTTAAAAAAACATTTCAATGAATTTCTAGTTACTCTCGGTAGTGATTTGAGCCAATTGGATGTCATAGTGATAACTGAACCAAACATAAATTATTCTGTATTATCTTTCTACAAAATTCCTGGATTCAAAGTTAATATTTATACTCGACAGGGACGCAGCGGAGGGGGTGTACTTGTGTATTCGCGGGTTGAGCTCACTGCGCGTGTAAGCGAAACGGCTGAGCTCGCGAGTAGTACAAGTGTTATGCGCTCGGCGGAGTGCGTTTCCATTACACTCAACGTTAATGGGGAGCATATTTATTTAATTTCTATTTATAGGCCTCCTCGATTCCGCAACCAAGACAGAATTCGAGAATTTTTTGTTGAATTAAGAAATCTATTGGGCAAATTACCTAAGCACTCAAAAGCAATAATCTGTGGTGACATAAATATAGACCTTTTAAAATACCACGATAACAATGTTAAATTGTATGAAAATATAATGGCGGAATATGGTTTTGCCAGGTGCATATGTGACGTAACACGAAGGGAAATAGTCATGGGTAACATTGTAGAATCGTGTTTGGACCATATTTATATAAGGGCACCCTTATCATTACTTGAATCAGCTGTAATAAAACATAAGGTATCTGACCACTACTATATCACGGCAGCGATACAAAGGAAACGCGCTCCTTCTGTGAGTCATGTCACCCACTCTGATAGTCGTATGCCAATGCGCTCTGTTAATAGGTGCGTTCTGAATAATCGTTTGGTTAGAGAAAAATTACTTTTAACAAATTTTGATGATTTATTAAACATTAAGTGTCCAGTTGAGTTGTACGAAGCTTTTACTAGTATTTTTACTAATATTTATAATGAATGTTACAAATCGCAAACAGTTGGGGTAAATAAAAGTGTTAGAAATAAAGAATGGATAAGTGAAAACTTAAAACGAATGATTTTTAAAAGAGATAGGTTATTTGTTACATGGTGCAATGAACCAAAAAATATGATAAAAAGATTGAATTATACTAAATATAGGAATAAATGTAGTAAAGCAATTTTTAAATGTAAGATGGAATATGATAAACAGAATATACTAGACTGTAACAAAAATATAAGGAAATTATGGGATAAGATAAATAGTTTATTGGGTAATGATAGAAAATCACTAGACAACCTAATACTATCTAATATGGAAAACCAAGGCAATGTAAAAGAAATTTGTGATAAGTTTGCTGATAACTTTTTAAGTGAAGTTGACCTCATAAGGCACACATGTACAGAAAAATGGTTGGTAAGGGACAATTACGTTGATAGACCTGATGTATGTATGAGATGGCAACCGGTCAGTAATGGAGAAGTCAAACGTGTGATTAATCAATTAGATAAAAATAAATCGCCGGGAACTGATCTCGTACGGATGTCAGACTTAAAGTTAGTTGTTGACAAAGTAAGTCCCGTCATAGCTAATATAGTTAACATGTCGGTAAAGCAACATAGGTTTCCGAATAAATTAAAAGAAGCCATAATTCGTCCAGTCCATAAAAAGGGTGATCGAAAAGTTTTTTCAAACTATAGACCAATTGCTATATTATCAAGTATTGACAAAATTATCGAGAAATGCATAACAAATCAACTAGGGTTTTATTTGCAAAAAAATAACATATTAAATGAATGTCAGCACGGTTTTCAGAGGGGCAAAAGCACTAATACTTTATTATCAAAATTCACTGATGAAATTAATTCGAATTTAGAAAATAAAAAATTTGTTGTTGCTATTTTTTACGATTTCAAAAAAGCATTTGATACCTTAGATACAGAAACACTTTTAAATGGAATGGACGAATGTGGCGTGGGACAGCCGCTAAACCAGTGGTTCCGTGACTATCTCACATCGCGCATTTTCCGTGTAAAGGTTGGTGACACGCTTAGTGAGGCGCATGAGGTGAAATGCGGGGTGCCACAAGGTTCGGGGTGTGGGCCTATTTGCTACTTACTACATGTTAATAGCCTATGTGACGTTCTTCAGTATTCCTCTGCATACATGTTCGCAGATGACCTATGTACACTACGGGCTGGTACCAATCTAGTGGAGACGTGTCACCTAATACAGCAAGATATAGATTCGGTAGTTAAATGGTCTCATGATAATGGCATCGTCTTAAACTCAGATAAAACCAAGTTTCTTATCATTCAGTCACCTTATATGTGTTATACTGACTCGTCTCCTCAAATGTATAGTCATAACTTTGAATGCCTCCATAATGGTCAGAATAGTTGTCAATGTGAGCCTATCAAAAAAGTCGATTGTGTAACCTACCTCGGTGTTAAAGTTGATACTAACTTCTCGTGGTCCAGCCATGTAGATTATATTTGTAATAAGTTAAGATTACTTCTAAGCAAATTTTATCACTTAAGCTTTAAAGTTCCTTCTGCTACTTTAAAATGCTTATATTTTTCATTGGTAGATTCGATTTTGGGATACGCCCTTGACAGTTACGGTCTTACATTCAAAATCTACATTGATAAGCTTGAAGCACTACAAATTAGATTTTTAAAGTTACTAGTTAATAAAAAAACTAAAGATATCTGTAAAGGTGATTACACAAAATTGTTCAAAATCTGCAAAATACTTCCAGTAAGTTTAAAACATAAGTATTTACTTGCCTTAAATAATTACAACTGTCGAGAACGTACTCTAATACTAGTTAAGCATGGTCAGGGTACACGTTCGATATCTGCAGGCAAATTTGTAGTACCTAAAGTAAATAATTACTACGGGGACAGAACTTTAAAGAAACGTCTACCGTACTTTCTCAATACACTACCTGAGGATATTCGACGTGAACCAGTAAAAAACATATTTAAAAACAAATTAAAGCAATACTTATTGGCTAGTCTTAGTGCTTAACTCTAACATTATTATGTAAATGAGACTCAAATGTTCCTGCAGATAAACTGCGTAAGCAGTTTTACGGGAATATGCATATTAAAAAACCAAACTTTGTACATTTAATAATAAATAAATAAAAAAAAAAAAAAAAAATCCACTATCCCGTGTCATACATGACATACATACCGTGGATGTCTTAATATACAACAGAGGCAAATGAAACAGGACATGGAAATCTTCCTGATATCAACTCAAAATAATAAAAAACAATGGTTGCAAGGTAATTATTAAAAAATAAATTAATAAAGGTCCTCATTTTAGTCAGAATGCATGAAAGTGAACATTACAATTGCAAGTGTGTATTAATATATTTTTTTATAAAGATAAAAATAAAAATTCTTAAATATGTAAACAGAACCCAACCCATTTTCAACCGACTTCAAAAAGGAGGAGAAACTCAATTCGCCAGAACCTTATTTTTTTAAGAATGTTCACCGATTACTTGAAAACACCTGAACCAATTTCGATGATTCTTTTTTTTATTTGGAAGCTGGAGCTTCTTATATGGTCGCATATAAATTGGATCAAGGTCTGACCAGTAGTTTTTTAGTTATTCTTAATAATTTTTTATTGAAGTCTGTTGTCCAAATTTTTTAATTTTAGCACTTGTTATGATCTTATTAGTTTTCGGAATCTACTTATTAGTGCTAATAAAACCCTTGTCTTAAGTTATACAAAAAAAGAAAGACTTATGCCCATATAAATAAATATTGCATCTCCTGATACTTTGCTGATTAAGGTTACTATGATGCTTGTTTTTACTATTTTGCTATTATATATATATATATATATATATATATATATATATAATATATATATATATATATATATATATATATATATATATATATATATATATATATATATATATATATATTATATATATATATATATATATTATATATATATATATATATATATATATATACATACACACTATTGCTAAATTACTATATTAAGAATGTAAAATATAGTCTGTTATATCGCTTTTGCTTTTTTTTTTAACTTTTGAGAACACAATTGCAGGCTCAATGCCTCTTTCTACATTTAGTTATAAAATATTATTAAAAAATATATCTAAGTGCTAGAACGTGGCAACAAACTGGTTTTTATTATAATACATTATTTTGCAACTAGAAATATTCAACAATGTGTGTTCACCGATTTCATAGTACAGCTGAACCAATTGAAATAATTATTTTTTAATTAATAAGTTATCCTTTAGACATTCACATACATCACATATATTTAAAGAAAAAATTCATCCCTGAGGGTGTTTTTGGAGATGGAGATTTTAATATAACTATTTACACAACATTCTAGCAGTTTTAATGTTGGCTTGTACTTTTTATTAAAGCTTTAATTATGTTACATAGCATAACATGTATCTTAGTAGCATTATGTAGTAATTTAAATAAATAATTTGTTTTTTATACTACCATATTCAATTTAAAGTAAACAGTACTTTATCATTCCAAAGAAAATTACAATATATTATAGATATTCTTGTTTAAGTATTCTTAAATTTTTGTATAACCAATAATTAGGTAATTATAATCTGCATGACTGTATATACAAGTTAAACCTCATTAAAAAAAATAGATAAACACCTGAATAAATACATTATAAAGAAATGAAACTTTTTATCATCAAGAGAAACAATAATTTAAAAGAAGAACATTTTATTTTGAAATAACAAATGATATCGGTATCTTTCAACCTATTTGTATAATGTTGTAATTAAGTACATACTACTTTTAAAATAATTAATATGAATAATTAAAAAGAAATACCTGTATATCCACTTCATTTTTAATAGCTTTTCCATCAGCCCAACATAACTCAGCCCTCACTGCTTGCATTATAGTACCAGAATTGAATCTATATCTTTTTTCTAATAACTCTTGTTTATACTTAGCCATATGTTTTTCCACGGCTTGTTCGATTTGTTCTGGTGTTATTGTGATGCCAACACCACACGCTGCCTCAAATTTGGCAATATCAACATTTGTTTCATTAACGGAACTCAGAAGATAATCAATGGCAGCGTCAATCCTTAAGGTAGAATCCAATTTTCCGTCAGCAATGTACTTACAGATAAACGGGAGTTTATCGGTTATTTGTGGTTTAATTTTTGTTGCAAGGTGGTAAAGTAACATACCTGCACCCGCTGGTGCATTTTGAAGATTTACCTGTTATGCATGCACATAGAAGAATCTGTATAAAATATATTTACATACTTAAAAAAATATATATATTATTCTAAATTACTAACCTCATTCAACGCGGCAAGTAATATTTTTGTAACATTAACATTTTTTAAAGTTTCTTTTGCTTTCTGCTCACTTAAACCTAATAACTTTAACTTTTCTATAGTTTCTTCTGGAGTCATTTTTACTGCTGATTTTAGTTCTTTATAATATCTTTTTAAATTTCAGCAAACCATTCAGAACAGCTGTTAAAAAAATAACCTACTATGGTACTATGTAATGAATGAAATATAACTTGACAGCTTGACACAAACTAACATAAAGAGATATTCGATATACATCGATGCATCGACTTCACTCGATGTTTACAATACGATGCATCGAATCGATCCGATGTATAGGAACCGACTCGATGTATCGATGTATTTCCATAAACATCGAATCAATGATAATATAGTTACCTATTACTATTAATACATAATATGTATTACATATTATAATTTGTAAATCAGAGCCACCAAAACATGCTCTGATATAGAAGTTATATATTAAACTTGTTGGCGGAATCAAGAAATTGACATTGGCTAGTTGACAGCATAGTCTGACATAAAACCGTCTGTTCTGTATCGGCGAGCTTTGAATAAAAACGTTAAACTCTATTTTATTTTATTTGTGTCATAAATGTGCACACTTTACAGAATGTAATAAGATTCTTCATGAACGTAAGAAGTTGTTTTTGAGGAAAAGTTCAATTCGCCTGGTAAGTAAAGTAATAAAGTAGGTTTTTAGGTTACCATTTTATAATTTATTGAATGACAGAAAAAATAGAAGATACTTTGTTATTTCAGCTCAAAATGATAAAAAAAAACTGCGGTTACCAACCCACTTGCCAAGCGTGTCAACTATGGCAAAATCCCCCCTAAGAGGAAACCTTTGGGGGACGCCTATGTTTAGCAGTGGACTTTTATAAGCTGTAATGATGAACGATGGATGACTTTGTTATTTGTAAAATACTTTACAACACAAATTATTTTTATTTTACTGTATAAATTTAAGCGAATCATTTGTGAATCGAATCACGAAGCTAATGAGGGCTAATAATCTTCCACTCACCAGATGTCGCTAGTTGTGACTGAGGTAAAATTTTTTGTTACACAATGTCAGTTAATTGAGAAATTAGTTTTAAATAATAGCTTATCATTATCTAGAGTATTATATTAATACACAACACAATACGTCAGTGGTTTGATTTTTAATTTTTTGCACATTATAACTCTTTTTTTTAAAAAGTCGTCTTTTAGTTATATTTATAGTTTGGTTTATTCATTTCTAATGTAATTAATATAAAATATAACTAATAATACATAAAGAAACCTTAAAGATTACATTTTCCTAAGAAATTATCATTCCCGCTATGAAATCTGTCAAATATTTTACCTCACTCTAAAGTGGCGCCGCCCTGGTGGCAGAAAAAGTCGTGGATGCCCTCATTATACAAATTAATTTATCAGTTAACAAACCATTTGTATAATTTTGCTCAAACAAATCTTTATATATAAAAATTACGTGTCACGTTGTTTGTCCGCGATTAACTCCTAAACGACTCCTAAACTGAACTGATTTCAATGAAATTTGCACACTGTGCAATTTGGTTCAACTTGAGAGATAGGATAATTTTATCCTGATAAGTGACACTCAATATTTTTTTTTTACGAATTTAAGGATTTTTTATATGAAGGGTCGCCGAAAAGGGCAGAACAACGTCTGTCTGGTCAGCTAGTATATAATAAATTTTTAAACTCCGAATAAGTACTTGATGTTGAAAAAACATCGATGTTTCTAGCCGATGCATCGGAATACATCGATGAACAGTCTTGATGCATTACATCAAAAAAAATAATAATGCGTGAGTGTAGTGGAGTAATAGTGTTCTGTGAGTGGAACACTCGGTTGGAACGAAGTTCCTTGCGTAGTATATTATTATTGATAAACGTAGGTATTATATTATTGATTAACAAATACAAATAAATGAATTACTAGCGTCTATTAAAATGAAGCGTCATTTGAAATAAAATAGTATTTCTTTCATGGCAAGATAAGAAAATGTGCGAGGGAGATGGCTATCATTACATCTCACTTTACACCTTATTTCGCCGCCAAGGCCGTCTAAACTATGACACAAGGGCTAGTGACGAAAAAATCTTACACTTTTTGTCGCCTAGCTCCCATCTGTCCACTGACTTCTATATATGGACTGGCTATCACCGTGACATAATGAGGCGATTTCAATCGAGGAACATACTATTCTTTGAATTTGATTATCGTCATTGTGGCGCTGACGGCAGAAGTGAACGTCCACGGAACTAATAATAGAGATAAGACCAGTGTGACAAAATATATCGACAAAAATTCTATACCCAGGACTACCCGTAACGTTCATTCTATTTATGTATCATATTAATAAATAATATAAATAAATGTATTCATTGATACCTTTTTTTACGTGGGGAAATGCCTACGCATACCCGCCTTGCGGGGCAAGGTCGGGTTATGGCGGACTCGCACCGACTAAAATCTCATGGTGTTCCACCTTCGCCGCATATTGGCAGGGCCACGGGAACTCTTTCGCACACGTCCGTGGATCCACCAGCGCAGGATCTCCCATGGCAGCCCCTTCTCGGGGGAGGACTTCTCCTCCCCATTCTCCTTCTCAGGCAATGCGCATCAGGAACATAAGACACGCCTTCCTCCACGGCCTCCAACTCCACCTACGTAATGGGCCCCGCCAAATTCAATACCGGAGGTCATGGGGCCAGGATAATCGAGCGCTTGGTAGCACCTGCTTTCCCGACCCCAGCAGCGGATCTGGTCTTTGGCTCCGCCGCCAACCAAGTTTCGGCCGCGGAGGGTAGGGAGAGCGGCGCCTCGCAATACCGACACTCCTCTCCCCCCGCAGCCCCACCACTACCGCATCAACGGTGCGGCGCCGTCAGAGTCGCGGAGGATAGGGCAAGTGGCGCATCGCCATACCAACACTCATTCTCCTCCGCGACTCCACCTCGGCTGTAGCGGTAGGGGGAGAGGGCACCCCTCTTGCGATAGCCCATTGACATACATCCGAAGTGGGCTCACCAAGCCAACTCGGAGTGGCCACTTCGGGCCAGCCCTACACTACGGGCCAACCAAAGGGTTCCTCTTTGTTCACCGCGGGTGACCAAGTCACGGCTACTAAACCCCCCGCCACGTCAAGGCGGGAACCCGTTCGGGGGGATCAATTGATACTTAGGCCTTAGGCGCAAGCTTTATACCTCATATAAAACCAAGATCGACGCTGCGTTAGTCTATCGATGTTTTTATTCGTAACTACAGAACGGATTTTTGTCCTGGTTTTAAATGAGGAAATGCCTACACATACCTACTTCGCGGGAGCAAGAACGGATTGTGTCGGACTAGCACCTATTAAAACTACATGTTGTTTCACCTTCGCCACTCATTGGCAAGGCCGCTTTCAAACACATCAGCGTTCCCACCAGCGAAAACCCCTCCTTAGTTGTGGCCGTCTCTTCCCCCTTTTCCTTCTCAGATTAGGCGCACCAGGAATACAAGTTGCACTGCCTTTCGCGGCCTCTTATACCACCTGCCCAACGGACTCCCCGAGCCTGATATGGGAAGGCCATGGAACCAGGAAAAAATGAGCACATCGCCATGCCAACAATCCCCTTCCCTTGCGACTCCATCTAGGCTGCAGCGATATAGCCACAGCCCACTAACACACACATTTAAGGGCTTGACCCAATCAGAGTGGCCACTATACATCTTGTATACACGAAGTCATCTTCAGGCGACATTTCTACACTTGACCATGGCCCTTGAGTCTGGGGGAAAACAAGGAGAGAAGAAACAGAAAACATTAGAAATAATAATCTAATAATTTTATACTTACTGGTATTGGTACAACCAGAAAATATTGTGGGTTATACTGCACTTTTTCAAAGGTCGTATGTGAGGTGTTTAGAACAAAGATAACCATTTTGTATCGGACGCCCATTCCCAATTTTAAGGTTAAGTTGGTTAGTTAATAAACATTTGATAATTATCTGTTGTCGGCGACTTTGGGTTTTAACAGATATGGGTAGAAAAGAACATCGATTAGTATTATAGACAAGACACTCGCCAACCCTAATGAATTTTATTGTTTATCAAAACTTAGTAATATAAAGTCAAACATGTTGGTAATTACTATATTAAAGTTAGTAACAAATTTTTAAGTACCTATATTATCAAACAGTTTTAATTTGTTTAATATTTGCTGTAAATTAACTTGTGGAATGTTATCCTTTTGGTAACGATTTTTACATATTAAGCACGCTCATTATTACTGAAAATAATTCTTATTATATAACTATATCAAACATAATCAAATCACATAAAATGATTTCATTTTTAGGGTTCCGTACCTCAAAAGGAAAAAACGGAACCCTTATAGGATCACTTTGTTGTCCGTCTGTCTGTCTGTCTGTAAAGACCCTTTTTCTCAGGAACGCGTGGAGGTATCAAGCTGAAATTCATATCAAATACTCAAGTCTACTGTCCCTTGGAGCTGTGAAAAAATCAAACTTCTAAGCCAACGCAATCAAAAGATACAGCCGTTTATGCCGCAAATATTATGCCGCAAGATAATCAAAACCTGCAGGGTACTTTCCGTGAACTCAGAATCTTAAAATTTGGTACGAAGCAACGTACAGAACGCACAGAACGCACAGATAAAGGAAAAATTGCGAAAAGCATAAATTACGAAAAACATCATGTAATAAAAAAATTTTTAATAATTTTAACCTACGGATTTGTTCGGAACCCACGGTGCGCGAGTCCGACTCGCACTTGGCCGGTTTTTTTTAGTTTAAAAATTCAAAATAAAGAGATACGATTTAAAGAACACAACAGACTGGCATATTATGTCAATTTAATTCCCGGTACGGACAATGAGGGCGCTTCAAATAATAGCATAAGCATTTTATATGGCATAGCCAGTACAGCGTACTTGTATGTATAGAGGTCAGTGCATCCGCCAAACCCGTATCGACCGACAAAGAACTTCATTCCAAAAAACAACGATGTATTTTCAAAGTGGACACCCCTACTAACTGGAAAAATAACCTCAGGCCCCGACATTTTATTGGACCAACTAAGTCAGAACTCAAGTAAAATGATGGTAAATATAGCTTTTTTTGCTATGTACATTACTATGTTCTTATCCAAAAAATATCAACAATTAAAATATCGAATTATTTGTCTTATGAAGGTCAAGTGAGCGCTAGAGTAACAACGATTGCATAACGATTTGTTGATAAATGTAATGTTTTGAGAAATTATCAATTACCGTGTAGGTGGCGGTGTATGAACATTCATATCATTCCGTGCGTTCCGTAAGAGGCAACTGATCCACGGTACATGTGCCTTGTTAAACAGAAACAAGCTAACAAGGTACATGTAGTTCACTTTGTTTGGTTAAATCAGTGACAGGAATAACGGAGAAAATAGTACGGCGGCGGTGCAAAAGAACAACGTTATTTTGGAACTTTTTCGCCGTGATGTTATTTATCACTCCTGTCTAGAGGCGACAAAGGGAAATAAATCAGGAGATGGGTAGCAGCGTCTTTTAATGAAGCATAGTAAAGTAATACCTTTATTTAAATCTGGTAGTACATTAGACCCCGCCAATTTTAGACCTATTTCTGTACTACCAACACTTAGTAAGATTTTTGAAAAAATTGTTCTTGTTCAAATGTTAAATTTTTTTAATATAAATAATTTACTTCATAAAAATCAATTTGGTTTCACAAGGGGTCGCTCGACAACTGATGCCGGTGTTGAGCTGATTAAATATATCTTTAATGCATGGGAGAATTCACAGGATGCTTTGGGTATATTTTGTGACCTATCCAAGGCCTTCGATTGTGTTCACCATGAAACATTAATCAGGAAACTTCAACACTACGGTGTAAGAAGTGATGCCCTTAAATTAATTATTTCATATTTAAGTAAGAGAACGCAAAAAGTTGTCATTAACAATATGAGCTCTTCCGGATCGATGGTACAAATGGGCGTGCCTCAAGGCTCAATTCTCGGCCCCTTTCTGTTTCTTGTATACATTAATGACTTACCTTACATAGTAGGGGATAACCATGATATAGTATTATTTGCAGATGACACTTCTTTAATTTTCAAATTAAGTCGACAGTTACTAAAATATGACGAAGTAAATAATGCTATCTCTAAATTAGTAAATTGGTTCGATGTTAATAATTTGCATTTAAATGGCACTAAAACAAAATGTATGAAATTCGTGACTCCAAATGTCAAACAATTAAATACTAATGTAATTTTAAATGGGGAGAAACTGAGTCTTGTAGATACCACCATTTTTCTTGGAATCACACTAGACGCGAAGCTTCAATGGAGCCCCCATATATCAAAACTAGCAAGCAGACTTAGTTCTGCAGCATATGCTGTAAAAAAGATTAGAAGTTTAACCAGTGTTGAAACAGCTAGACTAGTTTACTTCAGCTAATTCCATAGCATAATGTCGTATGGTATTTTGCTATGGGGACACGCAGCTGACACTGAAATTATATTTGTTTTGCAGAAGAGGGCCATAAGAGCAATTTACGATTTAAAGCCTAAAGAGACGCTGCGACAAAAATTTAAGGAAATTAATATATTAACTTTGGCCTCTCAATACATTTATGAAAATGTAATGTACGTACACAAAAATAAAAGTAGTTTTACAAAAATAAGTGATATTCATTCTGTAAATACTAGGAACAGACACAAGCTAGTAGTACCAGTTACTCGACTCCATCGAGTCAGTAATTCATTCTTGGGGCGATGTATACGCTTTTACAACAAAATTCCAGAAAATATACAAAGTTTGACCTGTTCAAAGTTCAAAAACTTTATTAAACTAAGTTTGTATAAAAAGGGTTATTATAATATTAAGGAATTTATGGATGATAATAACCCCTGGAAATGAGGTGATCGCTACCAAGCTATTTCTAATTTGTTGTGTTGTTAATTTGTGTAACATCATGATTGTAAGCTGTTATTTAAAAAAAAAAGTCCCGCTGGGTTTCTTGCTGGTTCTTCCCAGGACAGAGGTTTTTTCCGAACCAGTGGTAATCAAACAAAAGAGTGACTTTCAATAAGTATTATTTATAATCTATATTGAATAAAAAAGTTTCTGTTTCTGTTTCTGTTTCTTCCTAATAACGACTAAAAATAAAAAAAAAAACTGTGGTTGCCAACCCGCTTGCCAAGCGTGGCAACTATGACAAATATACCCTCTATAAGGCATATAGTGGAGACCTATGTTCAGCGGAGGTTTTTATAGGCTGTAACGGTGTTTGTTGTAATAGTGATAAGAAAATAAATGTGGGAAGAAAAAAAGACGAACATTTTTTTCTAAATTTAATCTCGGTGGAACGCGGATGCTTCATGCGATGGTTAGGGCAGCGTTGCAGAGGTGGGCGATATTTGTGCCAGTAAATTTTGTGCTCCCCTTTATTTCCATGGCCCATGGTCAGCAGTGGAAGGACACGTAAGGAGAGGGAGGAGGTAGTTTACGCACGCACGCACGCACGCACACACGCACCCACGCACGCAGCACACACGCACGCACGCACGCATTCACGCACGCACGCACGCACGCACGCACGCACGCACGCACGCACGCACGCACGCACGCACGCACGAAACTAATTCTAATAAAATGTTAGCTGTATAATTCTTATAATTTAAAAAAGTATTGTGCTGAGCACTCTTAACTATGGTTCTGACTAAACGTAGTGATTATACAGCTTGGTCCAAATAGTGACTATAGTGATTATATCTGCCGCCATAAGGAAAAAAGACGCATCTAACATTTTTGCGAAATGGAGTTACATAAATGTTCTAAATCAGTAAAAAAAATGACATCCACCAGTATTTTTATATTTCGCATAAATTAAACGGAACCCTATAAATCTTATTGTTAAATAAGACGCATCTGCGATATGAATCAAATATTACTAAATAGAAAAGACGTTTCTGAAGTCCACTAAGTTGAAAAAACGCATTTTAGTAGAAGCGTCTTATTTATTTACAAAATATTTAATTCACCATAAAATGAAAAGATACTTCTGCATGGTCATAAGAAGAAAAGACTGTTCTGCGTAGATGTGCCTTTTTAGCGTAGTATTACGAAAAATGGGCAGGCGCAAGTGGCAGTAGTGCCCTTCCTACTTAGCATTGCTAGTTGTGCGGGGTGAAGTGGGGCTCGCGGTTGGTATACTGTGCTTCAGTTGCACAGAACACTAATACCCTTAGGCGGGTTCAGTTCCGTCCAGGCAGACAGAGTGACAACACGCGCGCGCGGCTCTTCGAGCTATAACTACGGAAAAATCGTAAGTCAAACTTCCTGGAATTATAATTTATGTATATTTAAGCATACCCATGAGTAATTTAAAATCAAAAAAACTGCAAACCTAACAGGTGACACAAATAAATATACCTACTTTTATGTTAAAATATTTCAATATTAAATATATCGGTTACAAAACAACACCTTAATCTAGCTAAACGATTTTATTCGAATTTGTTTACACCGTTGAGTACCAACTATCACAATGAAGAGGCTTGCAGTTTATACATTTATACCTTGTTTTATTATTACCATAATGAGTTTTTTTGTATAGTGGGATATGAAAGTTTGTATTCAGATAATATCTTTCAGCTTTTTCATTTATTTTTTCTGCGCCGGTGATTTTTTCTAAGTATTTTGTTTATTTATTTGTTTCAGTGTGACAAAATGCGACATAATCGATGCTCAAAAATAATTTCGATGGTGCGATCAACCAGTTCTTCCCAGGAGTCAAACCTGAATACTAATTATTATGAGCTGTCTTTATCTACTACGAACGAAAATAACTCTTTGAATGATGCGGATCTTCATAACAGCTCAGACAGCATCCTGGATTTTGATTCAGATGATTCAGTTTTTGATAAAAATTATTTACCCTCAAGTTTAGATAGAAGATACGCCACAAAATTTCACAAAAAAGGGGACTATCAGAAAACGTAAGAAGTATGATGAATCACCGGCGCACAGAAAACAAATTAAAAAACTGAAGGATATGGAATCTAAATATAAACTTAAGCCAGGGTGTAATGATGGATGTAAAAAAAAAAATGTCATACCCAGTTTACAGAAGAAGCACGACAAAATCTAAACCATCACTTTAGAAACATGTCTTGGAAAGAGCAACAGTATTTCATAATAAATAACACATCCAAAGAAGATCCTAAAAGAAAAACCGTTAAAGAAAACAGAAAACTGCCAAGATACGTAAGCATATTATATTTTCTGACAAATGAAACTGGGGTAAAAGTGAATTTTTGCAAAGTATTTTTTCTAGAAACGCTAGGTTACAGTCGAAAAAATGATAAATCTATAAGAAACGCCTTATGCACCGTAACAAACAACATTCCAGTTGATAAGTGAGGAACCAATCCTAATCCAAAAAAGTTTGACGACACTAAATTGTAGAACATATAAATTCTTTTAATCCTTCAATTTCCCACTACAGACGAGAGCACACTCCAAACAGAAAATATCTTCCGTCTGACCTAACAGTGACCAGAATGTATCGAGACTTTTACGAACAAAAAAACATGAAAGACCTTCCTGTTCACGAACAGATTTCTTATGACTACTACAGAAAAGTTGTGAAGAAGTTAAATATATGTTTTACAAAACTTGGACATAAAGAGTGTGAGTCATGTGAAAAGTTTTTTATTCACAATCCGGAATACAAAGAGAAAAGACAGAGAAATTGTCAAGGATGCCGAGATTACGAACGACACCCGGAAAAATATACATCAGCTAGGGAAGCATACAAAAAAGATGTAGAAAAACATAATAACGCAAACATCAAACATATTTTGCAGCTGATTTAGAGAAAGTAATTATGCTCCCACGCATTGAAGAATTTAAAATGTTTTGTCCAAGAGTAATCGTATTCAATGAAAGTTTTGTGCCAATAGGTGACAAAAAAAACAATGCTACTTTGCAAACCTATGCTGCGATATGGCATGAAGCAATTGCTGGTCGCAAAATGAGTGACATAATAAGCTGTTTCAGAGCTTTTTTGTAGGCAAATAGAGACCTTAAAAATGTAGTCATCTGGTTAGATAACTGTGCAGCCCAGAATAAAAATTGGAGTTTGTATTTTTATTTGCTCTATCTTGTTAATGCAGTCGAAGTCAATTATGAAACAATTATATTAAAATATTTAGAGGTAGGCCACACGCACATGGCAGCAGACGAATTCCATCATCAAGTGGAGCAATCTATAAAGAGGAAGAAACACATCTATGATTTCGAAGACTCATCAAGCAGTATCGAACACCAGAACAAATATTATCGTTAAAGTAATGAATATGGATGATTTTTGTCAGTTTGAAGACTGTTCTTCAACTTACAAACTACAAAATTCTTCCCCTCGTGCTTATTTATGTCATATGTGTGAAGTAATATTCCTTAGAGGCACCCACATCATTTATTATAAGACTGCTTTCCACAATGAAGAAGAATACTCACTTGATTTTCTCAGATTAAAAAATATAAAATCTGGGATACCACCTCCAAAAACAAAAAAATCAGTATAGAGGCATTACTCAAGAGCGCAAGACAACGATCATACAAAAACTGACACCCTTAATGCCAGACAACAGAAAATCGTTTTGGTATAATCTACCCACTGATAAAAATAGTGTTGATCTGACTCAAGTAATTCATGAAGACTAAATTTACAAGAGTTATAAAGCTGTGATTATTGCTTATATTAAGTATAATTTGTTCAAACTTAGATAGCTTATTTAATATTTGTTTTTAGAAGAGTAACTTAGAGTAGCTATAAGTTCAGAGAGGTTTGTTATTGCTATTATTGTTTTTTTATTTTATGAAAAACACATAAGTCGTAGTGTTAGTTTGATCTCATTCAAGTATAAGATTAAGACTTCAATATAAGAGATTATTTAAAAAGCTGTGATTATTATTATTAATTATAAATGATACTTAATTTGTGTTTCTAATTGAAGAGTTTAACGCGAGTTTTGAGTTTAACTTTATTTTATGAGTGGTTTGTAATTGCTATTTTTTATATTCTTTAAAAAAGAAATATAAGACTGATTCTCATACTTTGTGTTTTATTTAATACATGATAATTATCATGTTAAAACGTACTTCAGTTTAAATAGGGTTTAGGGTTGTTGGTGATCTAACAATGTGCAGGGTATTATTATTTTTTAGTTAATTGAATATTAGTATTACTAAGTTGAAAAGCAGCAAATGTCTATTAACGTCTTTTTTATTTAGTTAATTAGAACCTGGTAACACATTATCACTAAGTAGGAAAGACGTTTAAAAAAATACTAAGTTGAAAGGACGTTTCTAGCCAGAAGCGTCTTCTCATTGCCATATCAAGTATTTTCTTATCCATTTTTGTGATAAGGTCATCTTTCAAACCTGCTATATTGCGAATCTCTTCGTTTAGCTTTCGGTCGGCCATGGTAACGCCGCACATTTTACGAAGAGATCGCATCTCCACTGCATTTAACTTGCTTTTATGCTTCTTCTGGCATACCCAGGTTTCGCTGCCATATAACAAAATCGGTCCCAACACTGCGTTATGTATTGCAAGGCGTGCACTCTTCACTACGCCTTGCCTTTTGACTAACGCAGTCAGGGCACCATTGAATTTGTTCCCGGCAGCGACACGCCTGTCCACATCTAAATCACATCTTCCATCCCGGCTAAAAGCACTCCCCAAGTATACAATTTCATTTACCTGTTCTAGACATTCCTGATTTACCCATATTTCACACTTCGTTCTCTCTTCGTCCCTTTCAAATACCAGAACCTTAGTTTTATTAGCATTCAAACGGAGACCTTTAATTACACATTCCTCTTTCATACACGTGACTAATGCCTGCAGTTCTGCCTCGGATGGTGCAATAAGCACTGCATCATCAGCATACAGCAGACAATTTACTTTAATGTCACCCAATTTCACACCCAAACAGCTATCTTTCAGCTTCTGTAAACAGCTGTCGAGATTTTTTTTTTTTTTATAGGATAAGGGTGACAAACGAGCACACAGTCCACCTGATGGTAAGTGGTTGCTGCGGCCCATGGACATCTACATCTATCCTCTGTTACAAATCAAAATGTAGATGCGTTGTCACCCGTGAGGACTAAGATGGAATGCCTCATTTCCAGTAAAAAGGGCCTCCGGCCACCTGCACTCACCAAGCGAAACGCAGAGGTAAACCTCTACTTCACGCTGGTTTTCTGTGAGGTCGTGGTACTTACCCCGGTTCGAGCCGGCCCATCCGTGCGACAGCAAAAGCTGCCGCGTGGCTCTACCACTGTATATATATAGTATGAAAAGCCAGGAAGACATGACACAACCCTGTTTTACGCCCGTTTGGACGCTTGGTGGGTAAACATGGGTGACAGGTCATGCCCTACCCGCACACAGGCTTTACAGTCACAGTAAAGTGACTGCACAGCCCTTAGCAATCGACTATCCACACCATACCCCGGCAACAGATCCCACATTTTCTTCTTTACAACTTTATCAAATGCTTTCTCAAGATCCACAAAAGCACAGAAAATCTTCTGGTTAGCAGCCAGAAGCTTTTCCGTGATCATGCGGAGAGAAAACATTTGATTTGTGCATTCTCTTCCAGGTCTAAATCCGCATTATGCCTCCCATAGAAATCTTTCCGATTTCTCTTGCATCCTACGTGTCAAAACTTACGAGTAAACTTTACTTGCTAAACTGGTCAAGCTGATCGCCCGATAGCACCCGCAGTCAAAATGTGAACCTTTATTTTTATATAAAGGCACAATGACTGCGGATCGCCAATCATCTGGGACATCCCCCGTCCGCCAGCACAAATTGCACAGCAGATGAAAGCTGTCCCAGACGCGAGGCCCACCATACTTGACCATTTCATCAGTAACTCTGTCTAGTCCCGCAGCCTTACCACATTTCAAACTTCGAATCGCACGTTCAATCTCTTTCATACTGATGAACTCAGTTTCATCAAGGTCCGGGTCTGGCGTACGAGTCACGACGTCACCCCCGGATCCCTCACTAAGATCATCACACGCATACATTTCTCTATAAAATTCGCTCCATCGCTGCATAACGTCCGATTTTTCTGAGAGGGCGTCATTGGTTCTCGAAAGCACTTTGTTCATTCTTAAGGCCGTCGCACCACTTCGGGTCCTTCCAACCTCTTTCCAGAAGAGTTTGGAGATCTCCTTAAAATTGTGCGACAACCTTTCGTCTGCTTCCATTCTACACCTTTCACGCACTTCCTCAATCAATGCTTTCGTGTGAACTTTCTGCAGCTTATATCTTACTTTCATCTTCTCTCTCATATCCTTATCATTACTAGAGGCCAAGTAGTCTAACCATGCTTTCTTCTTCTTCCTTACAGCTTCTTTCATTTCATCATTCCACCATGCATCTCTTCTTTTACTACTACCTCTTTTTATCGTTCCACACACTTCTTCCGCTGTACTTACCATTCCATCCCTAAGGTTCTGCCATGTTCTTTCCACACATTCTGCCATCGATGGTGTCAAGCTTTTCGGCTACCCTCGCATGATATTTGTCCCTAGTATCCGCTTCCTGAAGTTTCCAGCTTTGGATGCGACAGACCAACTGTGGTTCTGTTACTGCCGTCCGGTAGCGCCAACCCGCGAACAGACCCCTAAATCTAGTAATCACTAGATAGTGATCCGTTCCCAGGTCAGCACCCCTGAACACTCGCGTATCCATCACCTGTTTTCGCAGTCGGTCATCCACCAGGAACAAATCGATCATGCTTCTCTCATTCTTTCTTTCTCTAGTATACATATGGATTTTCTTGTGATTAAACATAGTGTTTGTCACAAGAAGACCCTTTTCCTTGCATATAGCTAGTATAAGCTTGCCATCATCATTAACCCTTTTATCGCTAAACTTTCCATGCACCGACTCGTACCCTGGTCGAGCGGTACCAACCCATCCATTCAAATCACCACATACAACAATTCTTTCGTTTCCCCTAACCAAATCTAGAACTTCTCTTACATTCTCCCAAAACTCCTCCAGCTCAGCCCTGGACGACGAAGCTACCGGCGCATAAACAGCCAAAAGGAATAACTTCGTCAGTCCCAATTTAAAGCGAACCCAGAGAAGTCTTGAGTTCACAACCTTATATTCAGTCATAACATCGACTAACCGAGGCGATAGCATCACCCCCACTCCCTGGCAGGCGCTCTCGCTCTCCGGTACTCCGGACCATAGAGCTAACGCCCGCCAGGGAGCTCTTCAGTACCACTGCCCTTCCGTTTGGTCTCCGACATACACACGACATCTAATTCTCTTTCTTTCATTATTTCGATCAACTCATTCGTCTTATCTCTCATGCCTCCTCTAACATTCCACGTGCCTACTCTGCACTCTGTCCTCCACCTTCCGCCGTGTCGAGCTGTGCGTGACGGGTGGCGGTCCCCATCGCCGGTTTGCGCGCTTCATTCCACACCAACGGGGACGAGCTGGTGTGCGTCGCCTTGGGGGGTCGCCCTAACCCCCGTTGGCATGGGTGCGCAGCTGTGTAGAATTGCAGCCCTGAAAAGGGCTGGCAGGGGTCGCGACGAGCATGCTTCTACAATGACCCCCATATCTATAAAGGTGACTTTGGATTATCTCATGTATAAGTCCAGAACTTGATGTGTTTATGCCCAAAATTCGTCATTTTGAACGCCATACAATAGCGTTCGAGCTGGCACGTCACCCGATGGTGAGGCGAGGAAAACGCCGCCAGGTGATGCGGCCGTGTGCGGCTTCCAGTGGCTCGACGCGTGGGTGAAGAGTTGAGTAGTTCGCTGGCCGAGATGCGGTGAATCCGCGTATCTAGGTTATCGCGGCAGAAGTTCACGCGACCGGTAGGGTCCAGATGGTTAGATTTAGTGCATGTTACTTCGCTCCGTGGATATGTGAATTTTGCAATATTTAACTTGTTCGGGTGATGCGGAATTACGCACGCGCGCGCCGTATAGATATACGGTCTGGGATTTGAACCGCGCATTCCTTGTTCGAGAGCGTCTCCCGGTTGATTTTCTGGAAATTATTATAATTGTGCCGTCGCGTTAAGTGCCCTTTTTTGTGTGTTGGCTGGTTTATTAGTTTTACGTGTCAACGAGGCGTATTTTGAACTCTTATCGCGGCATGGTGTTTTGGTATCGAACGAAGGAACTTAGTTGTGTTTAAGGCTGAACCGTATGACTCATTAATAGATCGCGTTAGTTCCCTAATTAGAATTTTGATAAGTGAATCCGGGACATTGAATGTCGAATTTTGAACTACTGTCCGTACTGTGTCGGGTATCACGTGTTCGATTCTACGATGATTGTGGAATTAGGCGAGGTTAAGTTAGTTAAATATACAATGGAGCTAATAGACTGAAATAGTGACAGTGAAGAACGAAATGGTCCAGCGGTGGAGCCTGCTGGAGCGATGCAGCCTTGTGGGGCAGCCTGGAACTCGGCCGCTGCTGGTCGCCTAAGCTGGTCCAGGTCTCAGACATTTCACTACACACATCACGAAACACTACGTGCCATGCACCTCACACCCACTTACGGCCTGACCGAGCCTTAGGGCGATCTTAGAGTCTAGAAAATTTGAATTCATTTGAAATTAAATGACGCGCTATTTGAATACTTGTACGTATGTTTTTGTAAATGCATTTGATCATTGTGTTTTGTTGAAAAGAAAATTGAAATTGGATAACCCTATTTGTGCCGAAAGGAATACATAGGCTGCACTTAAAGTATCGGGAATGGAATATTTCCACTGTTCCTGTCATATTAAAATCTTTTTAATTGAAAACTCCTTGGTTTTAAAAATCGAATACCATATATTTATTTAAAAAAAGATTATCGGTCTTGTCACAAGGTTTTGTCAAACTTGTTTAGTCGTTGAGAAAATGGAATTGACTCGAGAAAATTCAAGAGCGATGATTTATTGTGACTTTCAAAGTGGTTTAACAAAAACAGTGTGTTGACCGGATGCTTTCTGCATTTGGTGATGAAGCCCCATCCAAAACCACAATTTATCGCTGGTTTGCTGAATTTCAACGTGGACGTGTCAAGCTCAGTGATGATCCCCGTCAAGGTTGTCCAAAAACTGCAGTCACCCAAGAAAACGTTGATGCTGTGCGTAAGCTGATTGAGGAAGATCGACATGTGAAATACCGCGAAATTCAGGCAACTTTAGACATTGGCATTAGTCAAATACAAATAATCTTGCATGAACAATTAGGTGTAAAAAGATGTTTTCCCGATGGATACCGCATTCGCTCTGTGAAGAGCAAAAAGCGGCTCGCGTTACTTGGTGCGTCAGAACTCTCGAAAGATTCCACGCAGGATCCTCAAATGCTGTATACAACATCGTATCAGGTGACGAATCCTGGATATATGCCTACGAACCCGAAACAAAAAACCAGTCACGAGTTTGGGTGTTCGAAAATGAGTTAAAGCCAACAAAAATTGTTCGTTCACGGAGTGTTGCAAAAAAAATGGTGGCCACGTTTGTCTCCAAAACCGGCCATGTTACGACTATTCCTCTTGAGGGACAAAGAACGGTTAATGCAGAATGGTACGCTAGCATTTGTTTGCCACAGGTCGTTTCTGAACTCCGTAGAGAGAACTGCAACCGTCGTACCATCCTCCATCACGAAAATGCGAGTTCTCACACCGCACACAGAACAAAAGAGTTTTTAGGGCAAGAAAACATAGAATTATTAGACAATCCGCCGTACAGCCCCGACCTAAGCCCTAATGATTTCTATACTTTCCCTAAAATAAAGAATAAATTGTGTGGACAGAGATTTTCATCACTTGAAGGAGCCGTGGACGCCTACAAAACGGCCAGTTTGGAGACCCCCAACTCCCGAATGGAATGGTTGCTTCAATGATTGGTTCCATCATATGGAAAAATGTGTCAAATTTCGCGGAGAATACTTCAAAAAGCAACAAATACATTTTTAAAAAGTAATGTTGTGTCACTTCCTTGATTCCCGAAATTTTCAGTGCCGCCCTCTTAAGAGTCATTCCTCTTTTGGTTTTCACATTTTAATGGCACTGTCTAAGATATTTATTTGAAATGAGAAATACGTTATACGTCTCTTACGTTTATCGTTTTGTTTAATTTGTTAGTTTGACCTTTGTGCATCGGTGATTAATTTGTTTGAATTAATTCTGTAGTTGACATTGATGCTTTTGAAAATTAGTTGAAATATGAGCATGGCCCTACTTGTCTAAAGGGTTAGCTAGTTTGGAGATTATCAGATTGAAATCAGCTGCCGCACTATTTGAGTAAATGATTATATGGTGGATGGCTTGGTTAAGCCTACTTGTTTAAAAATTCATACTAGGGACTATCCGTGCGTTTCGTTTGGCTATCCACAGACGACGTTCATGTAGAATTTGTGGGTGCTCTCTGCACTGAAGCTTAGGAGGCCACACAGGGCCGCTTCGTGTCGCGTCGCTGTTTGCAGACCTGAACCGGTCGGATTGCGGAACGAATCATAGGGGCACAGATAGGTGTTTGAAAGAGGTCGTCGGACTTCTGTCCAGTACAGGACTTGTTAAGGTGCTGCGATGCCCAGGAGGGGCATCCAGTGGAGGTTGACCCTCCGGCATGCCCACATTGGGGCTGTCTTTTCAGGCGGTGGCTGGGGTTGCAAGATCTGATGGGGTGCCTAAGGTGGCCTAGTTTGGTTGTAGATTCGGTCTTGCAACGTGCCGTCGCGACCCTGTCCCGCTTGTCGGTTTGCTCGCGGACATAAGTCCTTATGTCCGGGACGGGGGTTTGTTTATGCCCAAAATTGGTCATTTTGTACGCCATCCAATAGCGTTCGAGCTGGCGCGTTACCCGATGGTATGTAGGTGAGGAAAACGCCGCCAGGTGGGGCGGCCGTGTGCGGATTGCAGTCGCTCGACGCGTGGGCGAAGAGATGAGTAGTTCGCTGGCCGCGATGCGGTTAATCCGCGTATCTAGATTATCGCGGCAGAAGTTCACGCGACCGGTAAGGTCCAGATGGTTAGATTTAGTGCGTGTTACTTCGCTCTGTAGCCGTGTAGTGACGGCCAAGAATATCCACTACCCTATATCCTCCCGTGGGTGTCATAAAAGACGACAAAGGGAAACAGGCAGGAGATGGGCAGCAGCATCTTCCTGATAATAGCCAAAATTACAGTAAAAAAACTGCGGTTGCCAACCCGCTCGCCAAGCGTGGCAACTATGGCAAATACCCCCCAATGATCAAAGCAACAAACAGACGGCCCCCAGTCCCCGGCGGCCCCGCTATTCCTGGTTACGGTGGCGACCATGGTAACGGCGGGGCAGGGGGTGCTAAGAATCTCCGGTGGAGGTTCGGTTGCCACCTTAGACGACTCGACCTGGCAATGTACAACGCACGCACCCTGAGGACTGACGAGAAGATCGTGGAGCTGGAAGAAGAGATAGACAAGTTGCGCTG